ATGCGGCACGCATTCTACTTCCATTTGTACATTCGTAGTGGCGTTTGAATGCGATGTGGCCTATACAATGACTTGCGGGGCCAGCCGATGTACAAGTCAGTGTTTTTATCCTCCCAGACAAGTCTGGTACCAATTAACCGAGAGGGATGGAAGGCTTGGTTGGCCCGGGCGACTCACGACCCAGGATTTGATCCCGGACCGCTCGCGTGGTGAAGCGCGCCACTTGTCACTACACCACTTCCGCCCAAAAAATTGTCAAAAATATGCATGGAGGGTTTTTTGAACTAACCCAGAATCGCCACAACTTCCTCGTCTTGGATCACCTCCAACGATCCGCTCACGACGAACCAGAGCGCATCGACAGATTCACCGGTGTGATAGAGAAGATCACCAGGAGCAGCATGATTAGACTAAAAATATTCCTAGTTATCACATCTACAGAAAACCTAATATTAGCCCGTTGTTAAAGAAACTGACCTCAAGGTACATCGCCAGCGATCGAAGACAACCATCAGATGCGAGTCGAAAGCATGAATGCTCATTGAACACCTTGCGATTCAAATGCACACATATGTCAGCCTTCATGTCCTTCGGGCAGTAACCGAGCACCTGAAAAAGCTCGATCAACACTGTAACTATGTAGAAAAGCCGGCGTTGCTAGGGGCTCCAATGAGATCCCCACGCCCTTCGTGTGTTGTCATTGTAATAATTGATAAGCCCAGGAAGTGCAGCCGCATCCCGAAAAGCAAGCGGTCGGGGAACACCTGGGGTGTAGGGTGAATAACGGCCGAGGAAGCTTTTGGCGGTGGCTCTGTACTGTGTGAGAATAGCGTCGAGAGTGAATGTACGCGCGGAGAGCACAGACGGCTCGCGCGTGGCGAGAGTGAATGTCCGCGCGAGAGGCAAAAATCCTCGACGAGTCATCGACAATCCCTCAACCGATTTTTACCTTGCTGGAGAGCGTGTTATTCTTTCACATCTGACCATGAGATGCCTTCGCAATCTGGAACTTCTGGCACTATAAGCGGTCTGCCACTTTGGTGCCAGGCCAACAGCCAGATAGGCAATTGCTCCCATCATTTACAGTTCTACCCACGAAAACAGGCTCCGTCCACCTGTGTATTACCAAAGCCCGCACACACGACCAGCGTAAAGTACCTTCTAATGGTCCCATCTTAATTCATCACATAACACGCCTCTCCAAGCACAAACTTTGGATAATTGATTTTGTTATTTTAGGAATTACTAATTTCACCAGAATCCCCTACGCCTATTAATTCTATTAATGACAGGGGCGCCTACGCATTAACAAATCTAATTGGAATGAGCGTAGGCAGCTCCGGAGAAATGAGCACCTTTTGTGTGTCGATACCCTTCGTCATCGCCCACGTGGAGACCACGTAGTCCATCACGCGTTCGGCAAGTTCCTTGGGAACTTCTTGGAGTTTAATGAACTCCTCGAACGTGCTTATCATAGTCGTGGTTACTCAAAGGGCTGCACGATAAAAAAAGTTGACACCATGGCAGACATTTCCCCTTACCTCACGGTCGCTGATGTCATCTGTTGAATGATCGTCGTCATGTGACCAAAGATGGCAGCGTATAGTAGAGCCGAGATGATCATCATGCACACACCAAACACCTGAATTGGCACGATCGCTAGTTACGGGAATACTGTGATTCATTTGGTTAGAATTTTCTATTGTTACTATGGAAGGTTATCACTATCCGCTAGCCTCTTTGTTGGCTGAGCTTCACAGCCTTGATCTATGCCTTCAATGTTCAGAGAAGACTACTTGCTAGTTGCTGCTAGCTACCACTTGCAGCTATGTGGGCTGCAAGTGGTAGCTACCAGCAACTAGCTCTATCAACCAGTAGCAAGTAGCAAGTCTATCAACCGTCTGGGACCTTACGACCCATATTTTGGGCACAAGTATCAGGTTTTTCTTTTCCTTTTCTTTCTATTTCATCCAGCAAGATTTCTTTCAAATCATCAGTAGGTCTTTGTTCCAAACTTAATTGACAAGGTCCTTAGAAATCCATTGAAGTCCCAAGCCGCCGCAAAACGTAAAACATGCGCGGTCTCCAACGTGTTAGTAATATGCTCCAGTGAAAGTCAGCGTAAGTGTGGCGTCATCAACAGCCTACAAAGGCAATTAAACTCGCAGGTATAGAGACTTATGACCCACAGCCAGAAACAGGGAAATTATGTGGCTCGCGAAATGATTGAACCATTTCGGCAGGATAGGCCACGGACTTGATTTTTACTCAAAATCGTACGGACGTTTGCGACGCGCGTATCTGGCCTAAACGTGACCACTAGGTGTCAATCGCAGTACTTAAAGGCACGAGTCGGGATTGAATTGATGCGTTATTTTGTTCAAACATTAGGCAAGGGGTGCAATGAGGAACATTAGTGAGGAGAAAAAGCAAAAAGCACCATAGAAAACACTAAATTTCCCTTAGGAGGCCGGCCGTAGTACGACGGAGAGACACAGCGCTGCGAGGAGAGGGAGAACGCGAGATAGTACGTCGTACGCGAGAGGACGCAGAGACCACGTATGCCGTGGTGGATTACGCTGGCAGCACGGAGGGGAGGCCACCGTCGCACCCTGGGAAGAACTTTTTCTGTTGCCTTATCCTGACTCGTGGCTTTAACTTTTTGCACGGGGTCGATTCCAATTTATCGCCGATCTAACGAAGAGCGGTTTCAGGTCCCCGAAATGAGGTCAGTGCCTCTCAAACGCAAGTTGTAAGGAATCACCGTTTACAGCGTAAATACACAAAAAGGTAGCAATTATA